GTATCCGCTTGTATCTGCGAAAAATACGGACAAATCCCGGTACGCATCTGCTAGAATCCGAGGCCATTTCGTGCAGTGCTAGCTTCGGTTAGTGTCCCTCGGATAGGACATTAAATGGAGGTCCCGTGTTTGGGAGAGCCACACCCCACGCACGATACGATAAAAGATTAGGGGCATGCCCCGGTGTGCGATGGTACAAATTCTAAAATCCGGAGTTATGTCAAGAATTGGCATGCCAGAATGATCAGTATGATGATCGTGGGCATTAATGGAAAGACATGATAAGACAACAGTTCTCAAAAGTACAATACGCTGACAGGCAGATCACCAAAATGATGATGTCCCTCTTTGCCGTATACACGCTGTACATTATGCCTGATATTGATATGGTTATTTTAATTTCCAGTAATTTAAAAGTACCAGACGAAGCCTTAGCTCTTGCCAAAGACAATGAGACTAAATTATGGCACATTAAACAATTGAATTTTGTTTCACTGACATAACTTGCAGACGATCTATATGGCTGTCTCGTTCTTCAATTATTAGTAGTTTCAGTCATCTTCAGTTGATTTCCCAATCATGAGAATTAGTATGACAACCTTTTCTTTTCAGCTCAAAGTGCGTCACTTATACATTAAACCACCGTCTGAAAACACAGTCTTCAAATATTTCAAATATCCCAGAGTGACAGACATGCGTATTATGATGGTTCACAGTGTGACTCGTGGCAATTGCCAATCTTGTGTGGTTGCCTGCGTGATCGTTTAAGCATCTGGTAAAGAATGCAGCCGTGTCAATCATTCACTACTAGACTTGAAGACCACGTGGTTAAAGCCTTTGTCACAACCCGCCGTACGTTTTTTTTGTCCGTACGTTTTTTGGGAGGCTACGTCTGCTACGTTTTTTTTTCTGAAAACGTGTGGAAGGAGTGGCGTCGACGCACGTCACTCGCACGTCACTCGCACGGTTGCGCAAGGTGTAAGAGTACGGTCTGCACGTCACGTCTGGCCGAGAGCGTTTGCGTGCATCGTTCGCTGCGCAAGTGGTAAGTGAGTTGTACGTGCTTACAATGTACGATCTCTGTGCGATTGCAACTTTACCACAAGGAGGCCGTGCTCACACGTGCTTCCTCCGTACGGTATGTACGGGGCACGCACGTCGCTCGTACTCGCACGCACGGGTGGCCATGGTGAATCTGCAGACCGCACGCAGAAAATTTTTACATGCACTTAAAGTTCTACGGCGTGTCTGCGTGCTCCTAAATCCGTAGGATTCCGTACGGAGGTGGTACTCACCACGCACGGATGCCCTACGTTTGCCCACGTTTTGCACGTAGACAGCACGCAGAAGCACGTACGGCGTGTTGTGACCAAGCCTTTGGCGTCTAGTTGTCTCAGTCTTGACCAATACTTGACTACACGTACCGATACGTCTGAGTGTGTCTATTGACAATCTACAAAGTTCTGCTTTGCATGCTCCGTTGCTACCGTTTCTATGTAGCCCAAGAATGTTTTTACAGAAGCGATTATGGACAGTTTCAATAGGACATTTGAAAAATCGTTTCCCCAGATTTCGCAACCATGTAACATTATTGATTTGATGCACACGTCGAAAATCCTTGATAAAGATTTCAATTAGATTTGTGAGCAGATAAGAGATTTGATGCTAAAACAGCTTTGCGAGCTTTAGATTATTATAAGCAAGTTGTTTCTTAGCTAGTGAGAAACTGCCAGATGAGGACAACAACAGACCTAGATAGCAGCACGACGTAGTAATTTCCATATATTTTGAGCCGAGCAGGAATTTTCTATTTCTGTGTATGCGCCCTGTTTTGTTAAAAATTACAACCTTGGTCTTTTTCAGGTTAAGTTGGAGTTTCCATTTTGTACAGAAAGTACTAGTGTTTAGTTTGTCAAGGGCACATTGAAGTCCTTTCTCGGTTTCCGAGAAAATTACGATATCATCTGCAAAGAGTAAGCAGGAAATGGATAAATTCTGTAGGGAGGGTGGCACGCATTCTGGACTATCTAACATCTTGCCTAAATCATTTATGAACAGGTTGAAGAGAGTCGGACTAAGGTTACAGCCCTGCCTCACACCTTTGTCCGTGACGAAGGGTGGTGTTAGACCAGAGGAGGTTTTGATGCATGTTTGCGGGTTAGAATACATTGATTTTATAAGACTGTAAAATTTGCCGCCTACTCCCGGGATCCCGAGGTGAGTAGACCTACTTTATGTCAATCATTGAACTTCCTTCGCATGTTTTACTGACAATCCATTCGCCTGCCGAAACCTCTACACTTGCTCGGAAAAGGCAAAAATGGTTCCCATTATTTTGCACATTGTACATTTAACTAACTCTGCTTAATATCACAACACATAGTACCATATACTACTTGCAGACCGTGTTGTATTACTCGTTATTCCTACTTAAAAACGCGCTACATTTCTCCATCAAAGTTTATTTCGCATTGGCGCCAACTCAGCCCAACCTTCCATCATATGCATATACTCATAGGAAACAGGGATATTATGAAGATAATGTCATGATACACATTGGCTCACCGTATTGTTTTATTACTTATGCTGAACTTAATTATTTTGTTAAATTGATTCATTTTTTCATTGTACTTGTTTATTATCTTTTTATTACTTCTTCATTGTAATTTATATTTCATTTAACAAACTGTAGAAATTGTAAAATCATGAAGGGAAGACTTCAAATAAGCCATTGCGGCTTTTCTTCCTGCCCTTGCACATTTATTTCTTTTGTATTATTTTGTATAATTTTTCGTTTATGTATGTATGTGTTAAATGAAAATAAATAAATGATAAAAAGACAGTCAAGAGCAGCTGTATGTCAGATTATGTGATACGTTAGGATTACTTGTTAAAGTGCATTGTATATTATGACTATCCCAGCTTGCCATATGCCAATACATGTTAAATCCTTGACGGAAGTCAGGTAGAGCGCCAAAGTGCAGATTTCAAAGACAGCTGCAGCTTATATAATTAGACAGTGTTACCGTCCGGCGACTTTTGTGTTTGAAGTACATTGCATTTTTTCTTTCAAGCATGCTCTACGCCATGAACATTCACACATACCACCTATTATAACCATTTAAGTTAAAGCTCATGGAAAGTATGTGAGAATTAAGTACTTAGCAGACAGCGATTTCAGTTAATCAGACCTACAGCTAAAGATCAAATGGCATTATCTACTTTAGGTACATTATAGCGCTCATGTAAAGTGTATTCATATGTACATGTAAGCTGCCACCTGCCCTTGTATTGACTTACTTGACTTAAGTCGGGTGCCACTCCTCCTCTGCCACCCGAACCACAATGGCTGCCCAGTAGTCTCTATCCTCCATCGCCTTCCCCATGTCTTCGGCCCGTAGGCCAACGTCCCTTCGTAGCACGTCTGGGTAAGTGAGGGGTGGTCTTCCCGGCCTCCTTCCCCCGTGTGCTGGGGACCACAGGACAAGGTTCGAGGCTATCTCCCTGCAGTTCCTCAGTGTGTGGCCAGCAAACCGCAGTCGCCTAGCTCGTATTTTTGTCGTCAGTTTTGGGAGACCAGCCCTTGTATACTTAGTATGCATTATGAAGATCCCGAATAAGTCCCGAGGATTGTAAAGTCGTGCCAACTTTGAGGACAGGTGTAGTTTATACAGAATTATCGGCTTAATCCGACTTAGGAAATAGGAAAGTCTTAATGTCGTTAATACCAGAGTGTTAAAAGACAGCTGCACCTTCGCTATAAATGTGTAGCTCTTAGCCTGGCTCAGAGGAAATCTGCTCAATCGGGAGTTCAGAAGGACAGATAATATACATATATTAGGGAAAAACTTCTTCACCAGTCATCACTTTGGTCACCAACGACTGATCAGCAGAATCCTGATAGCTAAGTCTTAGCTATAAACACCAAGTCTTTATAGCTAAGACTTGGTGTAGCTTTAACATACACCAACATGCACGTCCATTCAGTTTTCGTATTACCTGTCTTGCTCAACTATTTCCTAACGGAGAGTATCAGAGAGAGAGAGAGGGGATCCCTTTGATAGTAATGTATGTGGTAGCAGAGCATTCCAAGTTGGTGAGGTATTTCTGTTGTTTGGAATGCGTTTATTACAACCTTGCCGGTTGGGTATACGTAAATAATGTCCCTGGGCAATCATGCATCAGTCATCGTAGATCACATATGATCTCTGGATGCCCAGCAGATCGCTCACTCTGTGCTACTCTGTGCACGGAGCACTTTTGTGGACAGCTCTGGCGCTCGTTCCACCAGCGTTCTGCGGAGTTCTGATTAGAAGTGACAGTTTTCGACACTGTGACAGGTGGGTAACTCTGTACATGGTATATTCTCCTCTTTTGCTTTAAGACCACATCAAGCAATTTTTATGGATGACAGATTGCCTTCAGACAGTGGTCACAATGCCGAAAATGGGCAAAGGTAACTATGAAGAGAGGAGACTAAAAAGGCTCTGATTTTTGATGTTTTGTTTCTTACTTTGATGCCATGATATGTGATGTTGGCTGTGTATATGTGGTGTTCACTGCGAATCAAAACCATTTGTACCATGATTGAGTCAAAATTTTAAAATGTGGGAATCTTGTTTTTGTCGGCTCGCCTTGTTTTTTTCACCCGCTCTCATTAGGTTTGGAGCCTGTGAAGGTCATCCATAAAATTTACTTGCTGTGGCCTAATTTGCACTTCATAATATACAATGGACAATGTTTATAATAAGCAACCGTGGTAAGCAACATACACTTATTTTTTAAATTTTGATGTCAAAATAATGAAGACTACCCTGCATGGTAACCATACATACGATTGAGCTTTCCAGTATCTCTACAGTGATGGACGTCCTACATGAAGTCCTTCTTCAACAAATAAAACTTTTGTTCTGATTTCCAGGTGTGACATAATGCAGGACTGTTTTGAGAGAGAGTCAGAACTGATGGACAGTGAAGGTTAAAGGGAACCAATTTTTGTCATGACAACTGCTGGGGAGTACATTCTAGTTGTGGTCAACGGAAGTAAGTTCATGTTTTTGCCTTCTGTTTTCTTGTAACATCTAACAAACATTTAGTTTTCTCTGTTTCTCAATTATTCCAGTCTTTCCTCTTTTATATCAATTCTATCTTGGTGTTAAATGGGAGAAAAAGCACAAAGTAGGAGATTTACAAAAATATGTCACAAATATAGCCTGACAAAAACAGCTACACATTACTTTTGTCAGTGTAATGTTCCCATCTCTGTTTAGAGATAAAAACTAAACAAAAGCTAAAAAAATTGTCATGTTTAACACTTTTGTTTACAAACTGATGGGTGAATTATTCACAATTTGTGACCTACAGTCGCCATCGTAGCAACTGTTGTCGGTGGCCTTCTCACCATACTAGCCATCCGGACACGCCCGGACCTACGGAAACTGGTCAACGTGCCTCTGGTTAGCCTCACTTGCACAGACATCCTCTTCAACTCCATATTTTCCCCATTTTGGATCCAGCAGATTCTAAACCCCCTTTGGGAGCCTCCGCCAGCCCTGTGTTGGTTGATAGGCTATAGCTCTCCCGTGCTACTGGGGGCGTCCTTATGGCACATGTTGTGTATCGCTCTTCAAAGGTATTTCACGATCTGTACCAACAGTACCCGTCTGAAGTCCAAGCAAGCCCTCACCATCATGCTCTTGCTCACATGGTCAGTCCCCATCCTTTCTTTCTTGCCTATTTACGTCGTTGAGGAAGTTAAGGTGGACCCGAAGCTGAAACGGTGCGCGGCGGGAAATTCTGACAAATTCTGGTTAAAGCTTCCCCCGGCCATTCTAAACATGATATTCCCGTACATCGCTGCCCTTGCCTTTTACATAATCATCCAAAACCACGTGAGGAAGAGTAAGAATCGTGTTCAAGCTCATGCACGCGGCCCCACAAACCATTTGGCAGTGCAGTACTCGAAGTCAGGGGGCGGCGGTGTAGCTGTCCCTTCTACGAGCGCGGAAACCGACAAGGTGACAAAGCCGGTTAGAAACCCGTCAAGTGACGATGAGCCAGCTGTCAAGCCAGATAAACCCAAAGTTAGTGTCGTGCAGATTGCTTCAGCAACCAGCACGGGTAAACAACAGGGCAAAACATCCTTACCAAGTAACGAGGAACGAAAAGGCAATGAGCCTGATAAAAACAAAGGCCTCGTCCCAACAACCACCATAGTGTCAGACCAGGCTGGTACAAATAAAGGACCGCAGCGAGCTCACGTTGTCCCGAGAAACAGTTCTCAAAACCACAACAGTGCCGCTGACAGGCAGATCACTAAAATGATGATGTCCCTCTTTGCCGTGTACACGCTGTGCAATGTGCCCATCACCGTGATGGTAGTTTTCTCCAGTAAAGTTCCAGCCGATGCCTTCTCTGTTGCCCAGCTGCTAGCCTCGTTAAACGGTGTTCTAAACCCGATCATATACGGCGTTATGAATAAGAACATTCGGCGGGGGTACAAGCACATCTGGGACCGCGTGCTCAACTTCAGAACATGAGTTTCTGTCAGCCTTGTTAAGAATGAATGTTTGGCCTTCAATATTTCAAAAAACCACTACGGGCAACAGACTGACATAAACATTATGTAGAAGGCAAACGTTATACAGATTTTAAGAAGATGGCTTTCACAAATTTCTCAGTGACATTGAGTTAATTCTATCAAGTTTGATTTGATTTTTAATTTAGCTTTGATTTTTGATTTAAAAATATTATATTTCCTTTGACAGTTATTCAAAGTAAAATCAAACTATCATAGATAGCTATTAGAGAATTCAAAATAATTTCCATTTTGCAACTGTTTATTCTGACACCTGACTCACATGATTTATCCTAGTAGTACTTGGTTTGACATCATTGCAAACGTGAGAAATGGCACATTAAGAATTCAACTGAATTTTATTTCACTGATGTAGACGTTTTAGATGTATACCAGTATACCAGTGATGGACTTAATTGAGTTTGAGTCACCTTCAGTTGACTTTCCAACAGATACTTATGAGATAGACATTCTCTTCCTACCTTCAAAGTGCGTTACTCATACATTAATAAGATACTGAAATGATAACCATCTTCATGAAATATTCCAAAATTTCTCAAGTAAATGAAGCGTATCGTGATGGTCCACGAAGATGGGCATGGTATGTTAATTGACAGTCCTTTGGATACGTGAGTGATCCTTTAAGCATTTGACAAAGAATGCAGCCGTGTCAATCATTCACAATACTGATTCGAAGCCCGCGCCACGTGCTCATTGTTGGGTCGTGTGGCGCAGTCGGTAGCGCGTTCGGTTCACACCCAAGAGGTCGAAGGTTCGAATCCTGCCCATGTCACCGATCTTGTGCCCTTGGGAAAGGCACTTTACACGACTTTCCTCACTTTCAGGTGGAAACGAGTACCTAGCTTCGGTTAGGGACGTCCCTCGGATAGGACGTTAAATGGATGTCCCGTGTTTGGGGAGAGCCACACCCCACGCACGTTAAAGAACCTACCACACTTATCGAAAAGAGTAGGGGACCTTCCCGTGAGTGGTTCAAACCTTACAGTCCGGTCTTACGCAGCTTGTACATGTACGTACATGTACCAAACTGGTGTGTTACGCCTAAAGGCGGTTTACCGGTTATGCGAAACAAACAAACAAACAAACAAACCACTCGGTTTGGTATCAGACAATTATCACTAACAACCCGTCAAAAAGATTTAGTTCTTCAATTGCTGCAAAAATTAAGCCTTTTTGCTTAAGCTTGCTACCATACCTGTAAATGTCTGTGTGAAGCACGCAAAAAGAGAGCCTGTCAGTGAGTATAATGGTGGCTAGGGTCTGCTTGGACTTTGGCTGTTGTTTGGGTACACCCTCTGAGATTATAGTGCTTAATGTAATAATTACGCTATTATAATTATTTTTCGTGTTACTGAGATGTAGCAAGTGTATAGTGCATGTTCCTTACTGTTAGGCACTCTACATTGTACCTTGTTATCAATACTCAATATACTAGCTTTGGATGTTCTTCAATGCTTTTTAATTTGTATATATTGTATTATGTAGAGGCATTTGTCATTGTTAAGAAATACTTGTTGTCAACACCTACTATTCCTTGTACCTTTTATTAAGACTAATTATTATTAATTAGTGTTGCACAATAAAGTCTAATGTATGCAACAATAATCGACCAGTAGTAACTACAGAGATTGGTACCTAGGCTAGGGCCTGGTTAGAATTTTATTGGGGTCAGTATCGTTCATTGTTTTTGTACACATTCTGAGCTCATAGTATTTAATGTTGTTTATGACCCTGACGTCTAGAAAGTTTCCATCATCACCTCATTGCACTTAATTGTTGCTAAAGCTTGAAATTCTTTGTACCCAGAATCAAGTGTTGCACGATAAAGTCTAATGAATATCTACGTATCATTACAAATATTAACAACAGAGGATGGTACCCAGGCTAGGACCTGGTTAGATTTTTATTGAGGCAAATGTTATACGTATGCTCATTTTGCTCATATATATAGTGCTTGACGTTTCTTGTTGTGATCCTGACATCTAGAAAGTTTAAAGTATCACCACTTTGCTCCTTAACCTTGCTGTAAGGTTGTTATCAACCCTTTTAGACTTTGAATGTAAAATTGTATATTCCATATTCTATTGTTACTATTGTAAAGTAAGAAGTCTAAAAATATTTTTTGCTTGTATATTAAAATGTCTTCTCATGTATCTCTTGTGAATTATGGTATTTAAGTGGAATACATACTTCCTTCAGCAGTGACATAACAGGTCTGGCCGCCAGGAGGCGCAGTTTCACCAGCTGTGTCACTGATGACGCAACCTGTGTTGAGAGTCGGTCGAGACGAATCCTTACAGTCCACCTGTGTTCTCCGTAAAACGTAAAATACCCAAGTACTCAAGGTGGTAAAATCTGGGCTGCAAAGTTCCCACATCTCATAGAATCCGATCAGTATTCGATCGTGTTCGATCTGGGCAATTCGAATCGAACCCGCGTTCCATTTCGGGGTCACCTGCGGTCATTTGCAATAAAGCGGCAAAACAAGCCCTTCTGCCTGAGTGCCTCGCAACAGATAAAAAAACAACACTTTTCTATAGATACAAACAGTTTCCAGGACAGTACATGTCCGCTATCATTTTTTTGTGGACATGTAACATGTAGCGAAGCTACTGTCGTATCCTTGAGTGACCTTGAATACTGTACGCCTTGATGAATAACACGGTGCACACTTTTGGGAGATATGACATGTCTGCAAAACTCGTTTTAACCTGGAAGCATGGAGAGTCAAACATACCCCATTTACGGCTCAAAATGACTGTCACGGTTGTCCCGAAAATCGAGCTTTAGGGATTTTTGAAAAATGCTTTCGATTTTGAATTATGGGTAATTAAGTGCGAAAAAAGAAAAAAAATCGATTTTTTCACATATTTGTCTACAAAAACTATACTTTAAGTCAGAAATTAAAAAATCCCAAAAGCACGATTTTTCATCTTTTTCCTAGTCGTCGAAAAATATAAAAATCAGTGATCTTGCGTAATATGTGTAGCCAGGTTTGCTCGGTGATTGGCTAAAATATGGCGCACCGAAATTCCGTAAATTATGGACTTTTTTAACGAAATCCGAAAAAAATCATCCTTTTAGCGGAAAAAATAACCATTGAATGTATGTAAAGACGATAATTTTATTTTATTTCAACGAAATTTTCCCTTCGATACTAGTTTGTTTATTTTCAAATGTTTTACGGTTAGCCCAAAATTGCGTCTTGTAACCCGATACTTTATCGAACGCCCCCAGCAATGGGAAAGAATGCCGTAGTGACAGACCGCCGTGAAGTACTGTTTAATATTTTATTTGCTTATTTATTTGTTTGTATGTTATATCTTGCTCATTATTTTATGTTAGTTAGGTGCTTTAATTAATATTTGATTATAATTTGTTATTCTGCACACGGCTTTGAACGTTCGTGCCACTGATGCGAAGAAGTAAGTATGTCGGGAAAGAATGTTGCCATGCCGGTTGGACAACACACAGCATATTATGTACTAGGCTGATGCAGACAACATTATTGGAGTCTAGGGTCCAATAACGTGTACAGCCGTGCCAGTTTCTACGTGACAAAATATATTTTTAGTTAGCCCCCTGCATGTACACAAGCGTTTTCCACCATGGGATTGTTAACGTTGGGCTCGCCGCTAAGTTGGAAAGACACCAAGAAGTTTGCCGACCATGTCCGAAAACACGGCACACAACAACTGATCAACATCTACCGGCGTCTGAAAGATCGGCACGGCGACGTCTTGAAGTGGGGAGACGAGGTAAGACACTGATGTGGGTTCCTTGGCCTTTCTAAAGAGTGTCATTCCCAATGTAAGACGCCTAATAGTATAAAGGTTGTTCTTCAACGCTAAAAAGCTTTACTAACAAGAATGCATAATGTTTACCTTCATATATGGTCTGCTCTTTTAAAATTCTTACTCAAACATATTCATATATATCGTCAGACAGGAGTCTGAATCCCTCCTGCTATAAAATTGCAACAGAATATAACACAAACACTAGTTACCATGGTAACAGTCTGGTTCAGCTCTCTGACCTTTTTGGTTTGGAGAAAAAGAAAAACGGATCAAAAACAATTTGTTTTCCTTTCGTAAACATAATAAATTGTTTTCCATTGTAGATCTTCGATTTGGAGTAGTCTGCCACTTGTTTTACTTGTCACCCTGGGTGCCAGACAGGTTTAAGCGACGGTCACAACCCGCCGTACGTGCTGTTTGTCCGTACGTTTTTTGGGAGGCTACGTCTGCTAACGTGGGGAAGGAGTGGCGTCTACGCACGTCACTCGCACGTCACTCGCCCGGTTGCGCAAAGTGTAAGAGTGTGGTATGCACGCCAAGTCTGGCCGTGAGCGGTTGCGTGCATCGTACGTTGCGCAAGTGGTAAGTGAGTTGTACGTGCTTACAACGTACGATCTCTGTGCGATTGCAACTTTACCGCATGGAGGCCGTACTCACACGTGCTTCTTCCGCACGGCACGTACGGGGCACGCGCGTCGCTCGTACTCGCACGTACGGGTGGTGAATCCGCAGACCGCACGTAGAAAAACTTTTACATGCTCTTAAAGTTCTACGGCGTGTCTGCGTACTCCCAAATCCGTAGGATTCCGTATGGAGGTGGTACTCACCACGCACGGATGTCCTGCGTTTCCCACGTTTTTGCACGTAGACAGCACGCAGAAGCACGTACGGCGGGTTGTGACCGTCGCTTTACGGGTCGCTAACCGCTCCTTCGGCAGCCAGAAGCCCTTCATCCGTTGTCTAAATTACCGCAGCGGTGGAGCTGAGCCAGAGGGGAGTGTTAGGCGGCCCTGTAAAGCGACGGTCACAACTCGCCGTACGTGCTTCTGCGTGCTGTCTACGTGCAAAAACGTGGGCAAACGTACGGCATCCGTGCGTGGTGAGTACCGCCTTCGTACGGAATCCTACGGATTTTGGAGCACGCAGACACGCCGTAGAACCTTAAGTGCATGTAATACTTTTCTACGTGCGGTCTGCGGATTTACCACCCGTGCGTGCGAGTACGTGCGACGCGCGTGCCCCGTACAGCCTATGAGCGTGCAACGTACGGACTCCGTGAGTCTAACTTCACTATTCTCACGTGCAATTGTTGTACGGACAGCGCACGAAGCACGTGAGTGCCACGCACGGTGCTTGCGTCATCCGTGCTTACTCCTCACTTCCCAGTTGACCTGCTCAATGACCACGCAGAACACACGTGCACCATACTAGGTGCTCCGCACGTGCAACGCACGTGCAACGCACCTTATTTCTACAGTATATAAAGACGACTTGACGGGCGACTGCCAACTCGTCTCCAAGGTGCCCAGGAAGGCTCAAAAGAAGTCTACCAGACAAGATCCAAAGAAACGGGCCGCGGAAGACACCAGGGCGGCTAGTGATGATGAAGTTTACAGGAGGTGCACGCACTTACAACGTGCGAGTGAGTAAGGAAATCGTGCGCACGCCGCACGTGTAGGTACGGCCTGTACGCGGCAACGTGGCAATCGCACAGAGATCGTACGTTGTAAGCACGTACAACTCACTTACCACTTGCGCAACGTACGATGCACGCAACCGCTGACGGCCAGGCGTGCCGTGCAGACCACGTACGTGCACCTTGCGAGTGACGTACTCCCTCGGCCGGCCACCCTACGTTTGCAGAAAAAACGTAGCAGACGTAGCCACGACAAAACGTACGGACAAAAAGCACGCACGGCGAGTTGTGACCGTCGCTTAAGCGGGCGAAGGGCTCTTGGCTGCCGAAGGGAACGGCTGGTGGCCCGAAACGAGTTTGGCACCCAGGGTAACTTATCACCTGCACTGTTGCACTTTCTGTATAACCTCTTAAGACATTGTACTTTGTTTCATGTTGCAGTTAGCACTCCAGAATGGACTTGCTAATAAAACATTTATTTTTCTCAAAGATGTCCTTTGTATCTTTGTTATATCTTACCTGGGACGGGCTTCGCTGCATTGAACTGTCCTTTGTACATATGTAATTATGTGTAATTATACTAACATTACTTACTTTCACTTGTCCAGTTCTTGCACTTTTCCTACGTCTACCCCTATCCTACTATTTGTTTGTCACACAGGTACTAACTTTGCGCAGCTGCTAGCAATCCTCTGTATTGAGGGCTAAGCAGTAAGGAAAATGATAATGAGCATGAAATAAACTGTTATGGTTGGTTGCTAGGTGGAGTACATGCTGGTTGTTATGGACGCAGACAACAAGACGGCCCGTCTGAGTCTGAAGGGAAACGAAGTCCTGGAAATACTGGAGAGGAGGGAGAAAGAAAGTCCGAGGTAAAAAAAAGGTTGCTTCGAATAATAACGTTATACGTGCTGCATGTACAATGTACGAAACATGCCACAAAGCTTTTTCTGTTATTTTCGTTGCATTATGACACTATTAGAAATTATAGGTAGTATGATATTTGTTGCTTATCGACATGTAAGAAGCACAAAACACTAAAAGAGTTATGGCCAGGGCATGCCAACCATCACCCAACAGAGATGCTACGGTCACAACCCGCCGTACGTGCTTCTGCGTGCTGTCTACGTGCAAAAACGTGGGCAAACGTAGGACATCCGTGCGTGGTGAGTACCGCTTCCGTACGGAATCCTATGGATTTGGGAGCACGCAGACACGCCGTAGAACTTTAAGTGCATGTAAAACTTTTTCTACGTGTGGTCTGCGGATTCACCACCCGTGCGTGCGAGTACGAGCGACGGGCGTGCCCCGTATGTGCCGTGCGGAAGAAGCACGTGTGAGTACGGCCTCCTTGCGGTAAAGTTGCAATCGCACAGTGATCGTACGTTGTAAGCACGTACAACTCACTTACCACTTGCTCAACGTACGATGCACGCAACCGCTCACGGCCAGACTTGGTGTGCAGACCACACTCTTACACTTTGCGCAACCGTGCGAGTGACGTGCGTAGACGCCACTCCTTCCCCACGTTTTCAGAAAAACGTAGCAGACGTGGCCTCCCAAAAAACGTACAGACAAAAAGCACGCACGGCGGGTTGTGACCGCAGCTAGACGGGGGACCTAATCAATGTTGGCAATTTAAAAAAAAAAAAATTCTGAACCCTGGAGGCTAGATTTATTAGCTAGCCGTCATATTTGTTGTTTACTATTTCATATTACAGTGACTACCCCGCGACATGGCGACCCGAGTATGGCGGTTTCATTGTGGAAGGGTCGCCGGTTAGGCCATATGGACACCTCATGGAACACTTAAACATGGTGGAGGCCAACATGAGACTGAGGTAAATGATTTTTTTAAATTTTTTTTGGTAACTTTTTTTTTGAATTTGTGCCATAGATAATTTTCGAAAAAATAAAAGGGGCTTGTGAGTACGAATTGAACATCTCAGACCCCACTTTGCTAACGTTATATAAAAAAGCCAGTATATAATATCCTTGGTTATACAGTGTAGTATTAAATCTAACGTCTTTCGGTTTATATACCTAGCAGCGTTCACTGTATGCACAAAATCGTACCTATAATCACATCTTAAAACATACGAAAAGGTGCGCCTTTACGCATATGTGCAGAAAGAATGGATTTTGTGCAGTGCTTATAGTTTTCTTTAAACACAACATTATTCTAACAAGCATAGAGGCTGAGGTAAATGATGCGCAATATTCTAGTCTCCAAGCAGAGGTTTGGGCTTTGGCGTGTTTTTAAGCTTTTTTATCGGGCTTTCATATATGTACTAGTATCTTTTTGTGCCAGCGAAAGTACAAAAAATACCAGTACAAAAAGAAAGCCAAATGTAAAGCCTACAAACACGCCAAACATAAGCCAAAGCCCAAACCTCAAAACAACATAGGAATGTTAATAGTAATATTAGGCCCATGTTTTCAAGATGTTCAGATAATTTTGCAAGATACGCATGTAACTTCTATTCTGTTTTACTTGAACTATACGATTATATATTTGTAAGAATCCGAAGTAATTAATGTGTAATTTTCATGTGTTTCAGACGAGAGGAGATACTGTCAGTACTTGACCAAGAAAGAGGCGAAACTGTCATCACATTCACTGCCTTCCCAAGGTAAAATGTTTTTTCTTGTTTTTCCTTGTACAAAGAAAATGTAGCAAGAAAATTATTCTTTGCACAAGAAATTAAAGAATCCCCGTAGCAAGAAAATTCAAGAAACACATGTGTTGCTGTAGCAAGAAAACAATTCGGTCCACAAGAAAATATTTCTTGAACTCATAGCTATATAACTGTTCTTGAAGCAAGAAAACCATTCTGTACAAAGATTTGTTTTAGCAGAAAAAATAAACTTTCTTAAAATTCTAAAAATTCTTAAGATTCTTGTTGGTGAGCATGATAGTAGAAATTTTTATTTTCTTAAGAAAAAAAGAAGAATCAACATACAAAATCTTTGAAGAATGTTTCTTGAATTTTCTTGAAAATCCCCCAGGCAAGAAAACATTTCTCATAAGAACATAAGAATATGAGAAAAAAATTGGTAGTGATACATACTAAATAAAACTTACTGACCTCATTGAATTCTGTGTACACGAATGCACCGAATTGAATGAGGTCATGAGCACATTTTGACCCCTGGACTCTCCTCCCAACTCGACCCCCACGAAAAGCGGCTGACATGGCCGAATGGGGTGACATATATGTACGCATATTATCGAATACAAATAAAGGCAGAAACAAAAACAAAAAAAAAAAAACACTGGCATATAGCATGCGTAACGCATGTTTACATTTTTCAATGAGGTCATCAAGACTACGTTGGAGCAAATCTTTCTGTGCTTGTGCACTGTACCCTGTTGTGGTGTGAATTGAATTTTAATTTAATTTAATTAAAATTTTTCAGTCCTTTCGGAATGACATTTGAATTTCATTTACGATGATGGCAAACAAAACTATCCTAGTTTCTTGTCACCATTTCCACATTTCTTTTTTAGATATTTTTGGCGACGCCTCTGGAGTGGTGGCCTTTTAAGACTTTGTGTTGACTATACATGATACTTTTTGATGCTAACCACAGGAAACTGCTGTATTCGTTTGCCTCTCGCTTGGTATAGTCTGAGAACGCCATCATCAAACTGTTACTTCGTTCGGAGGCTTTTTTCACCAGCCTGTTCTGGTGACACTACTGTAGATTGATCCGGCCACCTAAGGGGGCCTCCTTGCGGCAGGGTAGCTTATTTATCTGCACATACTTCGATCTTTGTTTGTTTTTTAGATGTGTTTGTGTCATGTTATATAAGTATGTCTGTAAACTATGGGCCATTGAGCCTGAAATAAACAATAAACACACACACACACACAAAAAACAATTTATACTATTTGTCCGTGGCGTCTGTGGCGCAACGGTTAGAGCGTTGGACTCGGAACCGAGAGGTCCCGGGTTCGATACTCACCGTGGCCCAATGTTGTGCCCTTGGGAAAGGCACTTTACACGATTTCCCCACCTACACGGTGCATGGAGTGACGCCCACCGAGCCTCTTAGGCTAATCTGTCTAACTGTGTGCCAAAAACACACTACGGATTTGGTGCGCCGATGTGACAACATCTGCACATTGACCAATGAGAGATGTTAAATTTATTTTTTTAATTTATTTAGGGTTGGCTGCCCAGGCTCTACAGACCCAGAGGTGGAGTGTAACCCGACAGTAAACACAGCATCTCATTCGTTGTTCTTTCCAGATGCTGCAATCAACCACCATCCCAGGTTCAGGTAAGAACCAGAAGAGTTATTTTGCTCCATGAAAAAGAACTGGAACAAGAAACGTAGCATAGAGGTAGAAGTAGCAGAGTTAGGTTGTAAATAAGTCTTACAAACATTAACTGGTGGTCATTGCAAAACATTGCAAAATCGTTACTGTGTTTTTTGACATACCTGAACGATTTCTCTCTGATTTAAACTTAATTGCTTTTGGTTGGCTATTATACCGTTTTAGTTGCCATATTTTCTCAATGTAGGACTCTGACCCGCAATATAAGAGAGAGGAGAGGAGAAAAAGTCTGCATTAACACACCAGGTAATGGTTTGTTTGTTTGTTTGCTTTGCATAATGGTAAGCCGTCTATAGGCTTAACACAAGTTTTTACAGTACGTACAAGCTGCGTAAGACCGTACGTAAAATTTGAACCACTCACACCGGGACTAAGGACTCTTCTTCACTCTTTTGGATAAGTGCGGTTGCTATGTGGCTCTCCTCAAACAATGTACCTCCGGTTTTACGTCCAATTTGAGACGACGTCCCCAACCGAAGCTAGGTACGACTGAGTGAGGAAATAGGTGTTTTAAGAAATGCCTTTCATATAACATATAACATAACATACATCATTGGTTATTCTAACGACTGTATTTGATATAAAACATTATTTTCCAACTTACTACACACAGACAATATTTTCATCCCACTCTCGTTTCAACTATGCAGTGTTTAAAGATATAAACACGCCAAAGCCATTCAGGGACACATTCCCAAACGACGACATAGAAGCGTCATGGCACGCTAAAGACGACCACATCTATATGGACCATATGGCGTTTGGAATGGGCTGTCCGTGTATACAGTGTACATTCCAGGCTTGCGATCTGGGGGAGGCCCTGCGCTTATATGATCAGCTGACGCCGCTCTGTCCGATCTTTGTAAGTATGAAATTTAATTGATGAATGAATGGATAGATAGTATGGTAGTATGATAGTGTATGATAGTATATGATAGTGTATGATAGTGTATGATAGTGTATGATAGTGTATGATAGTGTATGATAGTGTATGATAGTGTATGATAGTGTATGATAGTGTATGATAGTGTATGATAGTGTATGAGTGTATGATAGTGTATGATAGTGTATGATAGTGTATGATAGTGTGATAGTATGATGGTATGATGGTATGATAGTATGATAGTATGATAGATAGATTGATAGATAGATACATAGATAGATAGATAGATAGATAGATAGATTGATAGATAGATAGATAGATAGATAGATAGATAGATAGATAGATAGATAGATACATAGATAGATAGATAGATACATAGATAGATAGATAGTTAGATAGATACATAGATAGATAGATACATAGATAGATAGATAGATAGATAGATAAATAGATAGATAGATAGATAGATAGATAGATACATAGATAGATAGATACATAGATACATAGATAGATAGTTAGTTAGATAGATAGATACATAGATAGATACATAGATAGATAGATAGATAGATAGTTAGTTTTGTGTATTTGTGTTTGTTTAGCTGGCCCTGAGTGCGGCTGCGCCAGTGTACCGAGGGTACCTGGTGGATACCGAGTGCAGATTTAACATCATCGCACAGTCTGTCGACTGTAGGACACGGGAGGAAAGGGGACTAGAGGTCAGCCACACTCCTATCTTTATCTGCCACGTTTGCTTTTGTTTTATAATCGGAGTTAAGCAGTTCCACAACTCACGAAAATTGTATGACCTTCAGTAGTAAGCTGAACCAAGGGCTGTATACACATGATTTAAAAAAAATCCGATTGGTTTCTTGGGTTGGAGAACAGTTTACCATCACGATGTAACGAAGCACTAGTTACCATGGTAACAGACATCTAGTTCAGGTCATGGACATTATTTGTTTGGAGAAGAAGAAACGGAGCAAAAACAATATATTTTCTTTCGGTAAACATAAATATCTAGATGAAATTGACCGCTTTTGACTGATAGAAATATTTTTCTCCTGTAGCCCCTGAAGCAAGACAAGGGACAAGGGATTATGAAGACTTCAACCTTTTTGAGTAGCACGCTGCTGGCTATTATTGAATGGCATAAATTAAAAAAACAAACTGATAACAAGTTAGTTTTAATCAGCCATGCGTGTGTATGTCATCAAATGTGATGCAAAACGAAATAAACTCACTACTAAAAGTCAATTTTTATCTCTGTAGCCTCTGAAAAACGACAGGTTTGTGATTCCGAAGTCCAGGTATGACTCCATCGACTGTTACCTGACTCCTGAGGCCGAGAAGTACAACGACATTGACCTTATTCTGGACCAGGACATCTGCCAGCAACTTCAGGACGCAGGTCAGGGGTCAACGACCTTTGAGAACAGTTGAACAGTTAGCGGCAAAAGAATGTTGGATAGGCTATGCTTCAATTTAGTTGTAGTGGACTTGTCTATTCATTCATGAATTCATCATGCATTCATTCATGCATTCATTCATGAATTCATTCATGCATTCATTCACAAAACACAGGTTAGGGGTCATCGACCTATAGAACAGTTCAATAGTTAAAGGCACAAGAATTTTGGATACATTATGCTTAAATGTAGTAGCAATAGAGTGGCTTATTCATTCATTCATTTATTCATTCATTCATTCATTTCATACACATTTGAAAGTCATGGCAGCCTTGAGGATGAATTGTAGATTCGTCTTACACACAAATTTATTGAGAACTTTATTGACACAACAAAAGTGCAGCGACTTTCGTACAGACAAATCCATTACAAAGGAAATCAGTAGTAACCTACGTACAAGACAATAGATGAGTCGACTTTTTCTGAGGTCTAATTTTTCTGAGGTCTAATTTGTCTAAACATTCTTTGATATATTTACCTATTTGTACACAGTAAGGGCTATTACCTTCTTAGGTCTAGTATGAAATTGCATCATGTAACAAATTCCGTTAAGCAAGTGGACAGAAGGCTGAACAGCTCTGTGAGTTTTTCGTTATATAGAGGACAATCCATGAGAAAATGTTGTTCGTCGCTGTATTTTGTGCGTGTCAATAAAGATCTTTGTCTTAGTCAGAGCACTAGAACGGTTTTTCTAGGGGGGGGGTCTAAATTAAAGGTGAGGCCTTATCAACTTCGTGACGTAGAGACCCTCCACAAGGCCCATTCTTGAACTTCAAGAGTTATGCCGCATAGTCTCCCACACTATAGCAAAGTGATTTCATAGCCTTCTGATGAAGGCAAATATGGGCTAGAAATGACATGACTTTGTTCTAGGATCCAGAAAGTGAAGAATGCTTTAATCGAACCAGACCTAAGTCTGATAATCAACTTTTTTGACCCGCAGGTATGGACAGGCCTCTTGCTCGTCACTTTGCTCACCTGTTTATCCGGGATCCGATCTCGCTCTTCAGCGAAACGATTCACCAGAACGATGAGCAGGAAACAGATCACTTCGAGGTGAGATTTTCTTGGTCTGAATCAATCTCCAATCTTTTATTTTTATTCATTTATTTCAAATGCAGACAACACAACAATCTCCAATCTTGAGTGTTAGATGTTCATGGGTTAGGTGTAGCAAGTACATGTAGCTCGGTGTAATGTAGCCAGCTACCGTCGCGTCGTGTGCCTGAGAAGCTGGTGTGTTGCGCCGAATGGCGGCTAGACCGGCTATACAGATACAGAAACTGGTGTGTTACGCCGAAGGGCGGTTATACCGGCTATACAGGTACAGATACAGAAGCAGATCCTTTGGCGATAGCCGCAAATACAGTATCCACAATGTTTTTGGTAATTTTTAATGTAGTAAGTTGAATCAACCTTAGCCTATCCATTAATATACTGATATTTATTACAGAACATTCAGTCTACAAACTGGCAGTCGATGAGGTTCAAACCGCCTCCTCCCAACTCTACTATCGGCTGGCGCGTGGAGTTTAGGCCAATGGAGGTCAGTATACTAGTTCCGAAAGTAGTTTTATCAGGTTGGTAAAATATAGGATACAAGAGCTTTTCAAGAGCTATATGTAGCCGAACAGTGACAAGGGGAGGTACAGACTCAGCCATGTTTGGGATTGCGTTCTCTTCGCAAAAGCGCCACTTACATCGGCTACATCTTCTTCTTCTTCGTTACTGCCCAGCCCTACAGTGTAGGATTATTGGCAGTCGTTGCGCTTTGTAAGTTACATTTGTGATCCGGGACATAAAAAAAACAAAGGGAAAAAAAAGGATAACCGAGAAGGTAACATAAAACAACTGATCTTATGTGTGCTAAAGGTAGGACAAGTGCATTAGTGCGTTAGTAATATTTACATATATACAAGGCATATAGCGACGATAAGCAGAACTGCAGTCAGGAGCTCCAAAGAAGGTGACTGATAGTCACCGAAATGTCAGCAAGGTACTACTAAGCAGTTTGGTTGTGTAAAAGAAACCTCTTGTAACCCATGCCAGTATACTAGTATTGCACCAGACTGGCATCCTCCAATATTACACATGCTCCAAACAGTCATAGTCCAAGATATAAAGTGTTGACATTGAGTTGAATTGTCAATGTCAATGGAAAAAAATGGTGTCGTCCATCGCAGCTGAATGTAGAAAAGGCAACATATAATCTTCTTTAAAAAAACTCTAAACTTCTAAAAAGGAAATTAAGACATTGCACATCCCGAATCATGACGTTGCCTTTCTGCCTTGATTAGGACTGGAATTTGATTTATTTATTACATGTATTATTATACAGATTCTGTATCCAGCTAACAGGTTCTGAGAACGCAGCGTACATGTTAAAAGGTCAGACATAGGAAATGGGGTGAACCTGACGGTCATGAACCCCCCCCCCATGCAAATACTTCCCGAAAATACGTCCTTTCTTTTTTGTACAGGCACAGTTAACGGATTTTGAGAACGCGGCGTATGTGGTGTTCATCGTCCTTCTGACAAGAGTCATCCTGACGTACAACCTCAACTTCCTCATCCCTATATCTAAGGTTTTTCTAACTTTTGTCTAGTTACAAAGCAGCATTAGGAGAAACGGATAAGGCCAATGACCTGAACCAGACGTCTGCCACCATGGTATCTGGTGCTGTAGCAGGCACCCTGTAGTGTTGGGTACATTATGTAGCAATTTGCAGGATAGGGTAACCCGGTTCGAAGGGGCTGGTCACCATGTTCAATGCTGGTATATGAATGTGTTTGAGTAAGAATAAACTGCAGTTTGTAATAGGATATACTATATGTATTTGAAGGTAAGCAAACTTCTAGTTATAGGTTTACATATTTTAATGCTTCTACTTTATTGGAGTTGTAACAAATTTTCCACGAGTATACCGTCTATACTAATACAGATATAGAATATGGTACAATGCACCCATGCATCATGTACCGGCCCTTCTTTTATAATGGCATGGTCTTCAGGTCATGGTCTTCATGTTATTGACTTATACCACTTCGACTATTAGCTGGTTATTGTCTTGATAGCTTACTAATGTGTTTAATAATAAATGGTTTATTGGCCAAACATCATCCATGCAATCGCTGTCCTTATAGTGCTGAATCGATGCAGGGTTCACAATCAGATGATACAAATGGTAATAATACACATAATACACATGAAACATATTTTGTTCCACGTTTTGTGGAACTGTCGCAAGGGTCTGTGTGGCTGCCATTCGGCGCCACAAGGGGACCTCAATACGGCTTTCCCCAACCGAAGGTAGGTACCCATTCACACATGAGTAGAGTGAGGAAAGTCGTGTAAAGTGCCTTTCCCAAGGACACAACTTCGGGCGCATATCCAGACATGTCCCGGGTACGACTCGGGATCGAACCCGGGTCTCCTGGTTCACAGTCAAATGATCTACCACTACGCCACCCGACGCCACAAATCTTATTCTTATAATGTGTAAAATGTTGTGTTGTTCCCACCAGGTTGATGAAAACATGCAGGAGGCCCAGAAGCGAGACGCTGTCAGACAGGGGCTGTTCTGGTTCAGTGAGTGCTTACCGGTATTTAAAAAGCCTAATGCCGACTGTTTTTAAGTATGTAAAAAGTACGCAATTCGGCCCATGGCTGCGATGTACTTGACCTGATAAAAAATTCATAAATTCATAAATTCATAAATTCATAAATTCATAAATTCATAAATTCATAAATTCATAAATTCATAAATTCATAAATTCATAAATTCATAAATTCATAAATTCATAAATTCATAAATTCATAAATTCATAAATTCATAAATTCATAAAGGGCATATAAATGCTTATTGATATCGAAACCTTTTCAGGGTTCTACAGTGAGTATAACGACGGATGCTTTGAGCAGGAAGAGGATAAGGAGTACACCAAGATGACAATCAACGAGATTATCAACGGCCAGGTCAGACATACAGTATATCCTTGTATATTCTTTATGGCTTAATGAAAAATGTAAATGTTCTTGAAGATTCCATTCATCACTCTTGTTCCCTTTTCGACTTCAAAAAAATGGATTCACTTTATTTGCATATCAATCAATAATTAGTGCTTATAAACCTGCATTTCTTCTCTGTTCTAGGTCTCTCAGTCACTGACGAAAGCTAGTGGATACTAGCCGAAACGTCTGACGTTTCCAAAATCATATCCAGTTGCTTGAGTAACTGTTTTTTGGCGTTTCCATTCATCAGCCTAAAATTGCATTTCAAGTGTCATAATACACACCTATTGAATCAAAACATGCTTCTAACTCCTAACGTTTCATACAATCATATATTTTTGGTCATTAGTAACAGCCTATATGGATACAAACTTTAAAACTTAAACGTGTATATTTTTGCCCCCCCCCCTCCATGCGGGTGGTTTCCAGGACCTTGTAGTTGTGATGTAGGTCTGTCCTTGGTGCTGAACTACTTCACTACTTCATAGATACACTGCAATTAACTAAATAATGGCTTTTGAGATCTGCACAATCATGTATATTTTTTTGTATCCCCCTGGACAGGCTGGCGGTTTCCAGGGTCTTGTGTCTCTGATGAACTCCTACCTGGAGACAGTCGACATCGATGTGGACACCAGGTGTTCTGTACAGCAGTATCTCATGCTCATCCAGAAAAGGGCCTCAGGTACGGACATACACACACACACATACATACATGCATACATAAATTTTGTTTTATTTTAATTCAATTGTAACAAGACAATACATTGGTCACCCAGGCAGCAAAGCTGATTTCGGGTGCCAAAAACATTAAAAAGAATTAAACGTACACAATATATCTTACTAATACAGTAAGCTAAGAAGTAACAAGTACGACATTAAACTAAAATAATCAATTAACAATATAAAATTACAACATACTTAAGTACGGAGCATAATAAAAGTATTCAATCAAGATAATGATAATATAGTACATGCATACATACATGAATACAGCATTATATCAAGCTCATCCAGAAAAGGGCCTTAGGTACGGACATATATTTATATATACATACATACATGCATACATAGATACATACATACATACATACATACATACATACATACATGAACACAGCAGTACCTCAAGCTTATCCAGAAAAGGGCTTCAGGTACGTATATCAGTTTAGAGTAAAAGTATTTTGGAACAATATAATGAGAAATGTAAGTTGGACGTTTCGAAGTGTTGCCCTAAGAATTCAAACATTTGTGTGCATTTCTAGCCTCTACCAGTCTTCAGAAGCGATTGGCCAAATAAAGAGATGTAGCATGCAAGGGGAGTTGGTCCGCCAGAGAATTATAATAGTTTGCAAACTGTACTTTCTAGAGGACCAGCTCCCCTGACACTTTCTCTCTCTATTTCAGTATTCTACCAATTTCCAACCGGCTCCCAAAGTCTGGTAGAGGTTAGCAGTTGATTATTTATCAAATCCGCGTGCTTGCAACTAGCCTTTAGACACGAACTTACAAAATGATTTTTGAAATTCACTCTGTAATGTATTTTCTACATTTTTTTTCTTCAGGTGAACTGATGACCACAGCTCGATGGATTCGAGCTTTCGTCCAGAATCATCCAAAATACAAATCTGACTCCGTCGTTTCCGAAGAAATCGCCTACGACCTCACGAAGGTTGCCGATGAGATCACGAAGGGTGTTCGGGCATGTCCGGAACTCTTCGGAACGCCTCGTACGCGCACTAAAGTCTCCCTGTCTTCTGTGGGGCAAAAGAAGTTACGTAAAGAAAGTTCCGACAAGGCTGACATCGATGTTTTAATTTAGAAGTACAGTCAACCCGAAGAAAAGTGTCCGTTGTATAACCAGCAAAAAGCAACATTTTTGCCAACCTTGCCGATCTAGTCGGCCATGCATTTAATTGATTTAGATAGTCGTTCTGAAAGTACTCGACTTCATCTTGTTCTCAGAGGCTCCTTGAAGAGGGTCGCATCACAACATGACTGAGACATAAATGGTTTCCAAGTCGAGATGTTTTAAATGTTAAATGCTGTAAGCTCTGTGGTGAATGCATGTGAGGAGGGTGACACATGGTACTTACGTCCACAATTTACGTCGAATAAAAACATCGTCCATCCGTCGATGCAAACTGGCTGACTTCATCATGATTTCTCATTAGGTATCATCAATAATCAACATGATCAAAAATGACGTGGTCACCATGGATATTGGGCCTTGATCGGACCTAACTCAGGGCGGCTGCAGTCGCGTTGGCCAGGTCGTCTTCTTCAGATGGTCTCCTTCGGGGAATAACAGTTTTAGTTTTTCTTTTTGACTGTGGCACCTCAGCTGTAACATAGATCCGACCAGTTGGTGGGTCAATGCTGAATATGTGTGAAAGTTCTCCTGATTGGGACTTAAGACTGTAGGAAAGTTCACCGTTTGGACCGTTGTCGGGATCCTCTGCTTCTATGGTTGCGACTGTCGGCCCTCTTGTAACATTGCGAGAAGATATCTCAAGAGTTTCATCTACCGGACACTTCGGAGCTGTGTTGGTGCTAACTTTGGTCACGATCATACGGAGAGTGACTTCGTCAGTTTTTGGAGGTGAACCGTGATCTGACGCACTGACCCTCACCACGTAGTTCCCACTTTCCAAGGCGCTGCTGACGGTAACACTGCCGTTTGTGGCGTCGATAGAAACGAAGCGGCTGACACTTGTGATTCCGTAGATTATTTTGGAGTTATTATCAGACCTGTCAGCATCAGACGCTCGGACAGTAGTCACATGGAAGCCGATGGGAGTGTTGGATTGAAGGTTATACTCAGAATCAGGAGGGATGCTGATAACAGGTTTGTTGTCATTCTGGTCCGTTATGTTTATCGTTACCGTGGCTGTTCCCGTAAGTGTTGGCACCCCCTGGTCAAATGCATTGACGATGAGACTGAAAGACGCATGTGCCAACGCTTCAAGGTCAAACTCAACGACTGAAGTTATGACCCCTGAAGTCGTGTGCACTGCAAAATTTTCATCATCCATACCTGTTGGGAGAAGCCTGTACCTAACTTCACCGTTGCGTCCAGTGTCACTATCATTTGCAAACACTGTAAGTATAGGCGAACCAATGGGTTGGTTTTCGGGAATTGTGGCATCATCTGTCCTTCTGGAATATGGGTGGGTGTTCATTAGGCGCGTTCTCTTTGCTGCAGTTCTCTTCTGTAAACCCCGGGTAACATTCGCATGTGTTCGGGGCAACACACGTGCCTTGGCCAGAGCAGTCACCTTTCCTGCTGCAGTTGGCAACGTTACAGGAACCGCCTGACCAGCCAGGATCGCAGATACATGTGTCGAACCTCATACAGATTCCGTGACCTGTGTCAACGATTGAAATGTCATTCTTGATAATTTACAATACTCATGTATTACCTAATAAAATCCCAACTTGCAGTTCATTGACACAGAGTTGAAGTTTACCAGTACTCACCGGAACAATACTGCAATGTTTCGCAAGAGAAGTTGGCACAGTCATGTCCGCTGTACCCGCTGTCACACTGACACAGGTTAGGCTCTACACATCTGCCGTGGTCCGTGCAGTTATTCTGTTCTGTACAGTCTGGGTGATCACAACTTTCACCTCTGAACCCTGGAAAGCAGCTATAAAAATAATAAATGTAACAAAAGAAATCCTGATTGGGGAAGAAGATACAATAAAATGCATAGAACATTCTTTAACCGAAGAGCATGAAATAAAGACACCTTTTGACAGATCTACCACCCTTTCTACAACTGAAAAGTGTGAAGGAATAACTACCGAAGGTAAAGGGTTACTCTTAAAACAAATTTCTTCAATGCTCTACATGTAAGATAAAAAATTCGAAAAAATGATGGTACGACAGTGCATATTTTATTACCATATATAATCATTGCTATCGTTGCAGAGAAAATTCCACATTTTTGTTTGTTATACTACTATGTTTTGATGCATTTTTCTGACACATCTTATCATCCTAGTACCTATCGCAGTGAAAGCACGTTCCTTCAGAGGCATCGTGAAGATAGTGAATCGGGAATGGAAGGATGAACTGACGGATAAAACATCTCAAGAGTTTAAGACTTTGGCTGCAGAAGTTGAGAAAGAGGTCAGTACGGAATAGAAAATCTAAATATATAACCATCGACTTAAGTGCAATAAGCTTTGGCCAAGTTTTTTTCCAAGAAAGCTACTTCATATTTGGGTTGTACGCTCTTTTCCACAGCTGGAAGGTGTGTTCAGCTCAAGCAATCTTGGCGATACTTACGACTCTGTCGAGGTTGTCGGCTTTACGTAAGTTATTCTGTATGTACTTTTTAGATGTTTAGATTATCCTTCATGTCACAAGACACCAACGGTCACACGCTACATCCATTAGATGTAACAGCGTAGTAATTTGATTTTCACCTGATGCTATTAGTATGTAAGTTTCGTCAATTAACACTTAGTTATATACTAAATATTGAAGTTTATACTCACATTTCCCCTGCCTTACATGTTCGGTGATACTTCAGTCGCGGAAGTATTAAAGTGGACTTCCTTGTGCGTTTCAACTCACCCACACCCATCGCCAGCGATACCGTGCTGAATGTGCTTTCAGAAATGACAGACATTGGTAGTCTGCAGATAGATGGCACTGCCACCAGCATCACAGGTATTTTCATGTTTACAATAGTGACTTCAAACATATAATAATGCCACCCACCCATGTAAACAGTTAATAGAGCCGGGGAGGTCGTCAAGTTACCACCGTCGTGTGGTGTAGTGGTACATCACTGGACTATGAAACGGGGAGACCCGGGTTCGATTCCGGGTCGTACCCGAACAAGTCCGAACATGCGCCCCGACGCTGTACCCTTGGGAAGGGCACTTTACACGACTTTCCTCACTTCACTCAGGTGAAAATGAGTACCTAGCTTCGGCTAGGGACGTCCCTCGGATAGGACGTTAAATGGAGGTTCCGTGTTTGGGAGAGCCACACCCCACGCACGTTAAAGAACCCACCGCACTTATCGAAAAGAGTAGGGGACCTTCCCGGTGTGAGTGGTTCAAACCTTACAGTCTGGTCTCGGGGTTGACATCTTTGAAAAGGTGATAGTCACCTGTTATGTCAATCCTTCCACAAATGTGGTAAATCTTCATAAATAAATAAATAAAAATAAATAAACTACGACGCCAAACATTCAAGTACACGATCCCACTGAGTCGTGTTGAAAGACACAGACAATCTTTCATTCCCAGAACTCTCAAAATCATGCAGAAGCCGCAGCACTTGTAAAATTGAAACTCTTCTTCTGCAGAGTATTTGTTTGTTATTACTGTCTACTGTGCATTTGTATGTTAACTTGCTTTTAATGTATAAAATGTACAATATCTAAGGATATTATGATATTGCTATTGATGCTGAATCTTAGACTGCTGTACATTGCAACACAATTCAGGAGTTACCCGTGCCATGTTGTTCTATCAAATAAAGTTTCAAAGTTTATAAACATTTGACAGTGACTTTAAACATATAAGCAAATATCATCATTGCATAAAGGCAATGACTTTGGTCTCTTTCTGGTGCGCTGTCCATATACTCCTTAGTATTAAAGAGACATTTTCCTTTTTACAGCTTGTGATTTCAAGTACTGAGAATTCTATGGAACCAGTTAAGTCGGGAAATGTTTACTTCAAAAACTGTACTGGATTTTACAATATAGTAAATAAAAGTCAGGTCCGGCAATTTCGAACTCGAACGGTAGCAAAGCATGACGGTAGTAAATTGAATTACTGGATTTTTATCTCTCACCATAGTAGTAATATGACGGCCGGAGAGGTCCTATAATCCGGGCGGCTCCGGGCGGCTCCGTTGGCGCCGCCCTTATTAGCATAATAGTGTTTATAGATATATGCATAGGTATATGTACACATGTATATTTATTGCTATATCTATGATTATATATATATTTATCTATATATATATACATAGTCATATCTATACATATATTTATGTCTCTGTATGATTATTATGTATGCTATCTATCTATCTATCTATCTATCTATCTATCTATCTATCTATCTATCTATCTATCTATCTATCTATATATATATCTATCTATATCTATTTATCTATCTATATCTATCAATCTCTCTCTATATATAATCTACGTGTTGCTCCGGAGTAAAATATTACTCCGGAGTAAGTATTACTCCGTAAAATGTTACTCCGGAGTAAGTATTATTCAGTTTTGGAGTAAAATGTTTACTCCGGAGTAAGTATTACTCCGTTTTGGAGTAAAATGTTTACTCCGGAGTAAGTATTACTCCGTTTTGGAGTAAAATGTTTACTCCGGAGTAAGTGTATTGGTAGCAAGTAAGTATATTTGCCATGGTGGTCCGGCACAGGCATCATGTGTAGATATATCGTATGTGCATATACACAACCTTCTTAGCATATGTATGATTACTCCGGAGTAAGTGTACCTGTGGTAAGTTACGCACGTGTGTGCGTATCATGCGTGCATTATGCATCGACACAACAATGCAAAAAGACAGCAATAGTTTCGTCATGCTTTATTGATCTCTTGCCGTCGTGCTGCATTGAGAAACATCATGCACAAGACAGCGTTCGTAAGACGTTCGTGTACGTTACAACATAGTATCAAGACGACATGTCATTATGCAAAGTTGTCCTATCGGCAGGAGGACGGTGTAGCATTATTTCAGGACGAGGTATCCATATTTTTTCATCAGTGTCTGTTCTGGGACCCAGTTCTTGCTGTATTCAATGTTATAACCGTAACGAGGCAAGGCAGCAAACTCTACAAGATAAATATTTTTGCCAGCGCGTTTTGCCGCTTTGATCACGCGTTGGGGGACATCGCCTGGTTCTTGATTGAGTCGAATGGTCCAG